AGTACCTACGGATTAAAAAAAGTAATAAATACATTTTTTTATATTAAGTACTAATAGACTCAAGAGATTTTATATCTTTATTAAAAATAAAAATAAAATAATAAAAATATGTTGATCAAATTAATATTATAATTAATTTTGGATCTTCTAGATATAAAAATATTATTTTTAATATAAAAAATAAAATAATCTATCAAATACAAACATCAAAGTAATCATTAAAATATATTAGTATAGATTTTATTTTATGTTATAAAAATAATCATTTTTAATTTTTTAATGAGCACCAAAACGACCTTTGCCAACATTTTGCATAATTGATTTTTTTTCTGCATGCCTTTCAACATTGATTGACGTTCACAAAGGGCGTTTACGGTGGAAGGAATCTTTAACTTATATAAGCAAGAATAGCTTTCCTATTATTATTATTATTATTATTATTATTATTATTATTATTATTATTATTATTATTATATTAAGTCATAGGTTTATGTCAATATACTAATATTAATCAAATAATTTTTTTGAAAAAGCATCAAAGGAAAGTACATGAGTTGGTTGAAGAAGTAAATATAACTTTTTTACTCTAACATACTTGGGGAATTGTTTTTTCAGTTCCGGTATGATTATTTGAATATTTTTATATATTTAATTAACATTATCATGCTCATTTGTATATATTTTTTTCTCACCTATCTATGTAAAGTCTAATAATACAAATTTCCTCCACCTAAATGATATATACTCAAAGAAGAAAACGATGTATGGATATTCTTTTGAGTAATAAATATTTTTTGTGTTTGATTTTTAATATTACCTTCATTTGTGTTTATAAATTTAAAGTTAAATTAAGATGTATTTTGGTATCATATTTTTGTAAGAAAAAGCTTTAAGTTATCAAATTTTCAGATATTGGATTTCTTACTTTTTTAAAATCTATAATTAATTTTATTTGTTAAAATTATTTTAATGGTAAGTTTTATAATATAATTGTTACATTTTACTTTGTTTTAAAGATATTTGATTTTTTAAAATTAAAAATTTCAGTCAATTATTCGAAAACAATATAAATAGTAAGTTGTATCACATTTTATTTCCATTTTTTTATATTCATATTCAATATTTTATTTTCATGAACTTTGAAATAAAATTGTTAAATATTATTTTATTGTAACAATGTTACTATGATACAATATAGAAAAATATTAAATATTACGAAATTAAATTTCTCTAGCCTTAAAATTTAACTTAACTAATAAAAACTATATTAAAATTTTTTTATTGTATTTTTTTTTACCTGTCTTTCTATTGAAATGGTGATTTTTCTAAATATATAAATTTTGATTTAAAACTCAGAAAATTTGGTTAAGTTATAAAAATGTTTTGGTAATTTTGAAAATGAAGAAATTATAATTAAAAATGATGACATGTGAAATATTATTTTATAAGAATTAGTTTATGATTATTGTCCATAAGCTTTATTATTATTGTGGGCTTTTTTTAACAGGGGGGGTGAGTTTTTTTAAAAATTTCTAGAATGAGTAATTTTAAAAAAAATGAAGTCCTTTTTAAAATATGAATATATTAATTTTCCTACAAATATTTTTACGGTAAGGAATATTATTTTAATAAAAAAAAAGCCAACAAAAGGATAAGTTGTGTTCTTCAAACACTACTTAGTATTTTTTAGAAGAGAAATAAATAAAGCAGTTTTATTAAACATGATTTCTATCTTTAAAAAATTTAAGTAAAAGTTTTATTTATAAAACATGACTTCCACTACTTCCATTTAAAAGTCATGTTACATAAAGACAACTTAGTCGTTTCGAGATTTTTTTTTAAAAAAAAAGTTACCTATCTTGATATTTTTTTAAAATAAATACCTTTCAAAGGTATAAAAAAATCCTTTATTAAGTTATCACTTAATTTTGAACTCTCTTATCCAAGTTAGAACTAAACTTAAAAATTAACACATATAAGTGGCGCATGGGATAGAGAAATAATTATTTTTCATATTTCATTATTCAAGAAAAAAACTATAGAGACCGAGCCTTTTATCATTAAGATATTTTAGTTGGGTATCATTATTGATTTTGGAGATAAATGTCTAATATTGATGAGGTTTGAAACATAGTTATATAACAAGTTGTATTTAATATAAGGTAGAGATTGATTGGTTTTATTATATAGAAGAAATAGTAAATAAAATATAAAATATTATATTAAAATCAACCCATGATGAATTTGAGAGCTTCATATATTATCATACCTCAATAGAATAAGAAGTTTAGATAATCTCAAAGTTCAATACTTAAAAAAATAATATTTATTAAAACTTTTATTAAAATGTAATTAGTTAAAAAAGTCGGATTGTAAATTATTTTAAAAAAACTTATCAGGCCTAAAATATCAACTTATTTAAATAAAAATATAAAAGTAAATGAATATTTATTATTATTATTATTATTATTATTATATCAAAATTATTATAATGTATTAAAATTATAGATTTATTAATCTTTTCAAATATATATTAAGTATGTTGACTCATAAAAAAATAAAATTTATCAATTTATTAAAAGATAAATTTATGTCATATTTAGAGATTTTATTATAAAACATATTTTTAAATAAACTTAATTTTTGTAAAACATATGATCTGTATTTTCACTTCTATCTTGATCTTAAATTAATACAAACTTATATAGGTCAAGATAAACTTGAATTTATGTAGGTTAGGCAGTAAAAAAAGTCACGACTAATAAACATATCTAACTCATACTATATATTTTCTATCAAAGTCTGACTCATGCTTAACAAAACCTAACATATTTTCATCCAAAATTATCGATCCTCACATCTTAACACAATTAACGCTTGTCTAGAGTCCCAGTTAAAACATGTCTAGTTTGATGATTCATAAGAAAACCTACCAAAATAAAATATTATAGCAAAAATAATTTAAGACCAATATAGATAAAGTGTTTGGATAAATTGTTTCATAAATGCTTATAAGATTAAAAAATCTAGAAAAATAAAATAAAATTAACTTTTTCATAAATTAAAATTAATTTAATAAGTTAATTTATAGAAACTCTCATATTATTAACCTTTTCAAAATTATATTTATTAACTTATGTACAAGATAACTTTAACTTATAAAAAAGTTTATTTTATTTTTTTCTTCTAAAAGTACTTATAAAGAAATTTATTTGAACAAGTTTGAAATCTAACTCAAGATTGAACCGACAATCAACAAAAAGAAAGCAAAACACTAACACTTATTTATTTATTTATTATTATTTATAAAATATAATTATTTAAAACAATAAATATTTACAACAAAAGAAAGAGAAAGAAAAAATGAGATGTAGTGGAGATAGAAAGAGAAAGTAGTGGAGATAGAAAGAGAAAGTATAGCATTATAAATTTATGTATCAATAGAACGACTTATTATTTTATTAATGGTTAAAAATATATAGTAGTTATATTTTTAATGACAAGTTTATAAAAGATAAAATTTAATATTTTTTTACACAAAAATATCTTCCAACCGATAGTTCAGGGCATAGACATCATAAATATGAATATCATGTCTCCCAAAAAAAAATTAAATTCTATTCACATGGTTTAAAATAAAATCTCTAATATAATATGCTATGGAAGAATTTAACTATTAACCAATTGTATTAGACTTTTTTTTATGTGTACATATAATCGTATTAACAAAATTATAACATAAAACCTTATACATATTACTTAACCTCCTTATTAACCTTAATTATTCATGTTGGACTATGTATACATATAATCGTATTAACGAAATTATAACATAAAACCTTATACATATTACTTAACCTCCTTATTAACCTTAATTATTCATGTTGGACTATGTATACATATAATCGTATTAACGAAATTATAACATAAAACCTTATACATATTACTTAACCTCCTTATTAACCTTAATTATTCACGTTGGACTTTGTTAGTATGGTAAAATTTACCACTAATCACAACCTACTATTACTATGATAATTATAATTAACCAATATGAACCGCTAACAAACTAATAATGAATCAACAACCAAATACTTTGTATTTAGATAAAATAAAACAATAATAAAAAAGATTTTACTTTATAATTTAATTATTATTATAACGATCTATCATAATTTTTACTTAATAATTCAATTACTAAAAACAAAAAATAAATCTACGACTACCTAAGATTAATATATGACAATACTTAGATATATTCATAACAATATATATAATATATACGTGTAAAGGGAATTTGTGACAAGTAACTCAACTACACTTGCTACATCAAGTAACACAAAAGACTCAACTTTACCATCAACCAGAATGACCTCAAAACCTGACATCAAGCCTCTAGCCTATCTTTGTCCTACTCCCATATAAACTTGATCATCGCAGTCTAACTACAAGAAAAAAGGGTAAACTAGTATTTAAAGAGATCAACATATAACAAGTATAGAAGTAAAACAACTATGCTACCAACAATATCATGTAAACCATACACATCACCTTATATGGCTTACAACATGTCATTCAACAACCTTAAAAGGGTAAACAACAATCTCATCATACACCAACAACCATGCCATCCAACAACCAAACCAAGTAGCATATGAACAACATTAAAATAACCACATCATTTGTATAACACCTCAACTACGTGTGTCATCATGCATTCACCTACGATGATCTCATACAATAAAAGTGAGCAATTTAAAGACTTAACCTTACCAAACCAACACAATCTTTTTACACCTTCTAGATCAATAACAAATATTTATTGATAAAATACAATAATTAATAATAAAAAAAATATAGTGTTACAATTATATATTCATTGCTATTTAATGATAATAATTTTTAAAACAATACATCAATGATTTCTAGTGGGCTAATTTTCGGCCTCAATTTTCTTAAACAAAACTGTTGGAAAATTATAACTTGAACCTCATGTATATATTCTCACCCACGACTGTTCCAAAAATCCAACCATTTCGCTTCTTTGTTCCACACACTAGAGAAAAACTCCCAGGTTTTATCACATTATTAGCTATTAGCTTGTAAACTAAGAGTGAAGAATATGGCATTTTCCAAACTCCATGCAATAATAGAAAATGTTGGAAGTTGTTGGAAAACCACCAAAGGCTTCACCCTCCAAGTTCTTACAGGGCGTTGGTTCATGGCGTTCTCCTCATTCATGCTCATGTCAGTATCAGGAGCAAGCTACATGTTTAGTCTATACTCAAGGGAAATCAAGTCAGTTTTGGGGTATGACCAATCCACCCTCAATCTCTTAAGCTTCTTCAAGGACTTGGGCTCTAACGTAGGCATTATTTCAGGCCTAATCAATGAGGTCACACCCCCTTGGGTCGTCTTAACACTTGGTGGGGTTCTCAACTTTTTTGGCTATTTCATGATTTGGCTTGTAGTGACCACAAAAATATCCAAGCCCCAAGTGTGGAACATGTGCTTGTACATCTTCATTGGAGCCAATTCTCATTGTTCCACTGACACTGGAATCATTGTCACCAGTGTAAAGAACTTCCCATGCAGCAGGGGCATTGTAATTGGCATTTTGGGTGGGTATCTTAGTTTGAGTGCAGCAATTATCACTCAGATGTACTATGCCTTCTATGGAAATAATTCTAAATATCTAATTTTGCATATGGCATGGCTACCAACTGCTGTAAGTTTTTTTATTTTACCAGTTATCAGGCACCACAAGGGAGTTGTACAGCCAAATGATTCCAAGGTTTTCTATAATTTCCTCTATACCACTTTAGTCCTTGCAAGTTTCCTCTTGGTAGTGATCGTATTGCAAAAAAGTTTCACTTTTACGAAGAGTGAGTATTATGTCACTAGTTCTCTAATGCTTCTCTTGCTCATCCTGCCACTTGCTGTTGTTTTGGTTGAAGAACAAAAGATATGGAAGAGGAAACAAGAAAACATCAATACTGAAAACCCTCCTAAGCCTTTGAATATAACAACCGAAAAGCCAAATCTAGAGAAGCCTGCAAAGGCTACACCAAAGCAAGTTTCCTGTTGGAAAAACATGTTGAGGCCACCAAGTAGAGGTGAAGATCATACAATATTTCAAGCCCTTTTTAGCCTTGACATGGTGATTCTTTTCTTAGCCACAATTTGTGGACTTGGAGGTACCCTCACTGTGGTAAATAACTTGAGTCAGATTGGTGCATCTTTAGGATATTCAGGGCATAGTATAACCACATTTGTGTCCCTTATGGCCATTTGGATTTATATGGGTAAAACTGTGGAGGGACTAGTGTCAGATATTATCATAACCAAATTTAAAGTCCCTAGGCCTCTCGTACTAACATTAATCTTTGTGTTACCTTGTGTTGGTTACCTACTAATTGCTTTCAATGTCCCAAATGGTCTCTATGCAGCCTCGATTATAATTGGTTTCTGCTTTGGGGCAACCTGGACTGTAATATTTTCCATTATATCTGAACTTTTTGGTCTTAAATTTTACTCAACGTTGAGTAATGTTGGGGCAGTGGCAAGTCCAATTGGGTCATATTTGTTCAGTGTAAGGCTTGCAGGGCATTTTTATGACAAGGAAGCCACAAGGCAAATGGAAGCATTAGGACTAAAGAAGAAACCAGGGGAGGAGTTGAATTGCAACGGGAGTGAGTGTTACAGAAAGGTTTTCTATATAATCACTGCATTTAGCTTGGTTGGGGCACTTGTGTCTCTGATCTTGGTGCTAAGGACTAGAGAGTTCTATAAAGGTGACATATACAAGAAGTTCAGAGAGGATGTTAGAATTGCTGAAGCTGAAAATGGTGTGAATCAGAACAAGATTGGACAACCTGCTACAAATAAAGGATAGATATCTTTGGTAAGGAATTGGTGAATACTTTCTGAAAGGCATAGACAGCAAAAAGATACTAGAAGCACGGAGCTTGAGCTATAACAACTGCAATAAATATCCATTGATTTGTAGTTTATTTACAGGAGGTTCTTATGATATGTTTTTTCTTTCCGATGAATTACTTAATTTAAAAGGTTGCGTTATTTGTACAACAATTCATATATTTTATATAATAATATTTTTTTACTTATAATTTTTTTCATTATATCATTTATGAGGAGGTATACGGTTACTTTGAGAGTAAGTTTACCTAAACTTACTTCGTTCAATAATTCATGTTCTATATCAAATTTTAATGATTCAACGATTAAATTTAAAGTTCTTAATGTATATATCAAGTGTATAAACCTTTAAAAAATTTGAAAATTATTTGATACTTTGTTTCATTAATTTAAATTGACGGATAATCATAATAACATTTTATAGGTTGATTTGAATTAATAAAATGAAATATTAAATAATTTTCAATTTTTTTTAAAAAATTTGCAAACTTGATCTATCTATTAAGAACTTTAAATTTAATTGTTAGATCATTGAAATTTGATGTAAAACATGAATTATTGAACGGAGTAAATCTAAGCAGAGTTACTTTTGGAGTAAACGAATCCCTTCTCATCATTTATTATATCTTATATTTTTTTCTCTTAATTATATAAATTTTTGTCCGAGTTGATGTGCAAATAATATTTCTCAAAAAGTACAATTTATATCAACTTATAAAAAAAAGTTATGTAGTATGAATAATTTTTATCAAATATGGACAAATGGTAATTTTTTGTGTTTAGAGATCAAAGATAAGGAATTGCTTTTGAGAGCTCTTAGACTTAGTTAAATTTTGCAATACAAGGAACTCTTGGTCAGAATGTTGAGACACATATCATTGAACACGAATTTTACAATGCGAATTAGTAAGGAAATTTTTAATAAACATTTTGTATGCAATGCTAAAATGTATGAAGATTTCATAATATAATTGAATTCCAATTGGAGAAATACCAATTTAAGAAGACAATTGTTGTGATTTTTAAGAATAATCTGAATTCCATCATTTAAAAATTAATTCAAATGAAGAAATAAAGAATGCAATCGCGTTCTATGAAATTTCATCAAAATGCAAATGTAATCACAATTAGCAAGTCTCTGTGAAATTCTTTCTGAATTGAATCCAATTCACTGCTTTAAGAAGTTCACATTAAAAAAGAGAAAACAAAATTGAAATTCAAATAGAAGAAAAGTTACCGCAACTATTGAATTCTTGAATTGGTAGAATGAATTTGGCTGAACATCTTCATCAAGATGCTACCAAAATTTGTGTAGAGATGAAAAAGCAATAAAATTTGGATAGAGAAAGAGAAATAAGAGAGAGAGAGAGAGAGAGAGAGAGAGAGAGAGAGAATTTCTGGAGAAAGAGAGAGAATTTTGAGAGACTTCTAAGAGATGAAACTCAATTTTTGAAAAAAGAAGTATGATATCAAGTGTACATGTGTTACACTTATTTATAGACTAACTAATGGGCCTAATCAACTAAATCAACTAATTACATCACTAAACAAATCCTAACATTACATTCTAAAAATAAAAAAGAAAATACTAATGAGGGTCACAACTTTACAATGCATTTTTGGGCCACTTAACATCTTAATTAACCTTTTATCCCATCAAAGAAGTTGTAGAACTCTCTTTTATATTTCTAGGGACACCAAGAACATCCAAATATAATGTTGGGAGCTCTAGATATGGTCTACACAAGAACCAAGTGTAAAAAGGTCAAATTGCAAAAATTAATAATAATTTACAATCATTACTAACTAAATCCACTAATACAAATCACATCTAATATATAAATTATTTACACTATTAAATGTAAAATAATCCCAAATTAATGCATTGAAGTATGTTTCCCAAATGCACTATCAAGCATCTACTAGAATGGAGCCTAATGCCATGGTGAGCTTGATGGACTAGTAGGAGATTAAGGTTACTCCATTAATCATCACCACTACAATGGGATACTACTAGAAAATTGCAAAATAGCGACCGAAATTTATCAGTCGTTATTTAGCGACCGATTTAGCGACCGATTATGAATAATCAAAATAGCGAACGATTTAGCGACCAAAATAAGTCTCGCAAGAAAATAGGTAGCTATTTCGGTCGCTAAATAAGAAATTTTGATTTTTTAGCGACAGAATTAAATTCGGTCGCTATTTCGGTCGCTAAATTATAATGTTTTGATTTTTTTAGCGACTGTAGACCCCTAAAATTGTCCGGGTCGGAAA